TGGCGGCCCCCCTGTATCTCCTGACCAAGACAGACGGACCCTTCATTTGGGAGGACCACCACCAACAAGCCTTCGACCACATAAAGAAGGCCTTGTTGGAGGCTCCGGCTCTTGGCCTGCCTGATCTGACAAAGCCATTTGAGCTGTATGTTGATGAAAAGCTGGGGTACGCGAAAGGGGTCCTGACTCAAAAAATTGGGGCCGTGGAGACGCCCCGTAGCCTACTTGTCAAAGAAACTAGACCCAGTGGCTGCCGGCTGGCCCCCTTGTCTGAGAATGGTGGCAGCGCTGGCAGTCCTGGTCAAAGATGCCTTTAAGTTAACCCTGGGTCAGCCTCTTTGTGTTCGGGCCCCCCACGCTCTTGAGTCTCTCATCAGACAGCCCCCGGATCGGTGGCTCTCGAATGCCCGGATGACTCATTACCAGGCTTTGCTCCTGGACACTGACCGCATCCAGTTCGGACCCCCCGTCGCTCTCAATCCTGCAACCCTGCTGCCCACCACAGAAGAACCTGACCCTCGGGATGACCATGACTGTCATCGGGTTCTGGCCGAGGTTTTTGGCACCCGACCAGATCTCAGCGATAAGCCACTGGAGAAGGCAGATTACACCTGGTACACAGACGGGAGCAGTTTCCTCGAAGGGGGTCAGCGCCGAGCTGGGGCGGCAGTCACCTCAGAGAGCAAGGTAATATGGGCAGAGCCTTTACCAGAGGGGACATCGACGCAAAAGGCCGAGCTGGTGGCCCTGACGCAGGCCCTGCGGTTGGCAGAAGGTAAGAAGCTGAACGTATATACTGACAGCCGATACGCCTTCGCTACGGCACACATCCACGGAGAAATTTATAAAAGAAGGGGGCTCCTTACTTCAGGAGGAAAAGAAATAAAGAACAAAGCTGAAATCATAGCGCTCCTAGATGCTCTGTTCCTGCCAAAAGAACTCAGTATTATGCATTGCCCGGGACATCAGAAAGGAAACCAGCCAGAAGCAAAAGGAAACCGGCTGGCCGATCAGACAGCCAGGGAGGCTGCCATGAAGAGTCAAGTACTAACCACGAGAATCGTCCCCGAACAAAAGAGAGACGAGGCCATTAGAAGCTATTCCCAGGAAGACAGAGAATTACTTAAGAAAATGGGAGCCCTCAGTGATCCAGAGACTGGGTATTGGGAATATCAGGGAAAGACAGTTCTACCTCAAAAATCAGTAGAAGACCTCCTAGATGAACTTCACAAATGGACCCACCTAGGAGTCTCCAAAATGAAAAAGCTGATCGAGCGGGAAGAAACAATCCATTATCTGCTAAACAAAGATGCCATCCTACAAAGAATTGTTAAGAACTGTAAGGCCTGTGCCCAGGTAAACTGGGGCAAAAATAAAGCTTCAGGAGGGGTCAGACAAAGAGGCCACAGGCCAGGAATTCATTGGGAAGTTGACTTCACCGAGGTCAAACCAGGAATGTATGGCTATAAATATTTGTTAGTTTTCATTGACACTTTTTCAGGATGGCCAGAAGCCTACCCGACCAAGCAAGAAACTGCAAGGGTGGTATCCAAGAAGCTATTAGATGACATCTTTCCCCGATTTGGGATGCCTCAGGTAATAGGGTCAGATAACGGACCAGCCTTCGTCTCCCAGGTAAGTCAGAAGGTGGCCAGGTTACTGGGGATTGATTGGAAATTACATTGTGCTTACAGGCCCCAGAGTTCAGGTCAGGTAGAGCGAATGAATAGAACCATTAAGGAGGCTCTAACTAAATTCTCGCTAGCAACTGGCACTAAAGACTGGGTGACTCTACTGCCCTTGGCATTATACCGGGCCAGGAACACTCCTGGACCTAGTGGGTTGACCCCATTTGAAATCTTGTATGGAACCCCCCCACCAGCAGTTTCTTTCCTGGACCCTGATATCTCTAACTTTGTTGATTCACCTTCCCTCTTTGCTCACCTGAAGGCACTCCAGCTGGCTCACCAAGAGATCTGGAAGCCTCTAGCTGCAGCCTATCAGGATGCTATTGACACTCCTATTGCACCCCACCCCTTCCAGCCCGGGGACGTTGTCTGGGTACGGAGGCATCAGAGTCGGAGCCTAGAACCACGCTGGAAAGGACCCTACACCGTCCTGCTGACAACCCCTACCGCGCTCAAGGTAGACGGCATCACTACTTGGGTCCACGCTTCACACGTCAAGGCCGCGAACCCAGAACACAGGGAACTACTCGGCAGGGAGAGATGGCGGCTGACCCGGACGCCCAACCCCCTAAAGATAAGACTGGTCAAAGAAAAATAATAATCCTGTTACTCTGGGTAAATCTATTTACTTATGAATTTGCTCCCAGTGATGGGAGCCCCCATACAGCTGTGCCAACTACCTGGCAAGTAATTAATCAAATGGGCATTGTAGTATTTGAGGTCCAAAAAGAGGCACCAAAAGACACATGGTGGCCCATATTGTACCCAGATTTGTGCAAATTAGCTTTAGGGGTACAGGAGCCTTGGGACTTAGAAGGAACCCACGATACTGAAAAGGCACCCAGCATGGCGAGTCCTCCTGGGAGGCTGGGACTGGACCCATGGGGAGGATGCGGCCCTCCTGAACACCGGGCCATGTTGCGTACCTTAACCTTTTATGTCTGCCCAGGCTTTCACAGGGCTGTGTCTCTCAATCCTAAGTGTGGAGGGGGGGGCATTTCTTTTGCAAAAACTGGGGGTGCGAAACCACCGGAGATACTTGGTGGAATCCGTCCTCATCATGGGATTACATCACTGTAAAAGCAAATTATTCTCATGGGACTTTTGAGGAGTGGAAAACTACTCATAAACAGGCCTGTGAGGGAAAATGGTGCCACCCCCTCTGCATAGACTTTACAAGTAAAGGTAAAGTGTCATCCCTAAATTGGGACAAAGGATATACTTGGGGAATTAGGTTATATAAAGAACGAGAAGATGATGGCCTCCTTTTTACGATTAAAAGAGTTATGTCTCCCCCACCTGCAGTAGCCATAGGTCCCAACCCAGTCATCAGTAACCAACAACCAGCTTCCCTTCCTTTACCTGCTTTGGTGCCCTCACAAACCCCAGAGACCAATGACTCTGCCAGTCTACCTGACTCTGCCAGTCTGCCTCCCACCACATACCCTGGAACAGGTGACAGGCTCCTGAACCTCGTCAGGGGAGCATTCCAGGCATTGAATCATTCAGAGCCAAATAAAACTAAAAATTGCTGGCTCTGTCTGAACCCGAGCCCCCCTTACTACGAGGGCATAGCCGTCCAAGAAAACTTCTCAGTAATACCTGCGAACTCTGCTACCCCCCTCGCCTGCACCTCTTCCACCCACACGCTCACCCTGTCTCAGGTTACCTCGACAGGCACCTGTATCGGGAAGGTGCCCGCTGGATTTAAACATTGCCTTAAGAATAACTCCTCCCTTTCCCTCCAGGCCAACGCATACCTAGTGCCCCCTAATGGCGCCTACTGGGCATGCAGCACAGGACCGACTCCTTGTGTCTCGCTCTCTGCTCTAAATCTAACCCAAGATTTTTGTGTCCTGGTACAGTTATGGCCCAGAAATTTATTGGCATGAAGACAATGAGGTATTGCAACATTATAAAGAGACACCTACCCCTGTCAGATTCAAGCGAGAGCCTTTGAGCATAACCTTAGCTGTATTATTGGGAGCTGGGGGAATAGCAGCGGGCATTGGGACAGGAGCGACTGCTTTAATCCGCTCAGATCAGTACATGCTCTTACATCAAGCCATGACAGCTGGCAGAGGGTAAAAAGCTGAACATATATACTGACAGCCAATACACCTTCGCTACAGCACACATCCACAGAGAAATTTATAAAAAAAGGGGGCTCCTTACTTCAGGAGGAAAAGAAATAAAGAACAAGAAAAAACGTAACTTTGAATCTAAAAAAGGTTGGTTTGAGGAGCTATACGATCAGTCCCCCTGGTTTACCACTCTGATATCTTCCCTAGCAGGTCCTCTAGTCCTTTTACTTCTAATCTTAACCCTGGGACCCTGCATACTTAATCGGCTGGTCCAATTCGTAAAAGATCGGCTGCCTGTAGTTCAGGCACTATCCTCAAGAAAATGGGAGCCCTCAACGATCCAGAGACTGGGTATTGGGAATATCAGGGAAAGACAGTTCTACCTCAAAAGTCAGTAAAAGGCCTCCTAGATGAACTTCACAAATGGACCCACCTAGGAGTCTCCAAAATGAAAAAGCTGATCGAGCGGGATAAACAATCCATTATCTGCTAAACAAAGATGCCATCCTACAAAGGATTGTTAAGGATGCCATCCTACAAAGGATTGTTAAGAACTCTAAGGCCTGCGCTCAAGTAAACTGGGGAAAGAACAGGGCCTCAGGAGGAGTCTAAGTAAACTGGGGAAAGAACAGGGCCTCAGGAGGAGTCAGCCAAAGAGGCCATAGGCCAGGAATTCATTGGGAAGTTGACTTCACCGAGGTCAAACCAGGAATGTATGGCTATAAATATTTGTTAGTTTTTATTGACACTTTTTCAGGTTGGCCAGAAGCCTACCCAACCAAACAAGAAACTGCAAGAGTGGTGTCCAAGAAGCTATTAGATGACATCTTTCCCCGATTTGGGATGCCTCAGGTAATAGGGTCAGATAACGGACCTGTGCCCACAGGTACCTGTGCATCAAATAAACCTCTTGCTGTTGCAACCCGAAAGGCTGACTTGTCCTCAGTGGTTTCACTCTTACAAGGGTTTCTCTTGGATCTTCGACTTCTCCAGTTACATGTACTTGGCTGTGTTTACAGTGCCACCTGTGAGTTCACTCCACTGAGACAGATTGAAGTTCAATGTCGTACCTGTTGATTATATCCCACATTAGAGTTCCATTACTGCACCAGTGGAGGAAGTTTGCTGTGCCAGTCATTATGGTTATTAGGCTTTAGGTCTGGGTTCGAGCATTGATTGATTTTCTCCCTTAGCAGGTTGTATAATATCCTTTGGAACTATGAGAGCTAAACTTCAGTTAGAAAATTTCCAGATTGGAGCTCACTCCATTTCTCTAAGTCCTGTGTATGAAGGATTTAAGAGACAGGGTCTCACTTTTGCCCCAGCTTGCGTGGGACTCTCTAGGAGGATGAGGGTGGCCTCAATTTCACAAAAATCTGCCTCCTGAGTGCTGGTTTAAAAGGCATGCACCACCACACCTCCCTTTTTAAAAATGAATGTCAAATAAAATTGTTCCTAATGACTTTGAAGCTGAAAAAAAGTAAATATACATTATGGCTACTTGATACTTGATAATAATAATAGATCAGGTAACTAGCCCAAAGATATTTGAAAAAAATCATCCAAGGGAACTAGTGTTTATATATTTATGTTTCTGTGACTCAGCATAAATAAATGATTCATGTTATGACCAGGGAAATTAGTATTCTGTGTTTTTCAAACAGAATTGATGTTAATTTTAGAATTATAGATTAAAAGTAACAATTATAGAAAAAATAGGATTTTAATTCCCTAATAGCTTTTTGATGTTGCCTTTAGAAAAAAAATTGTTTTCCTTTGTCTTTAAAAGTGTTTTCTTCTGCTTTTTATTTTTCATTTTATGTGTATGAGTGTATTGCCTGCATGTATGTGAGTGCACCCATGTCCTGCAATGCCACGGAGGTCAGAAGAGGGCTTCGGATTCCCCTGGAACTGGAGTTACAGATGTTTCATAGTCACCATGTGGGTGCTGGGAATCGAACCCGGGTCCTCTGTTAGAGCAGTTAGTGCTCTAAACCGCTGAGCCATCTCTCCAGCCTATGGCAACCCTTTGTTTCAGAAATGCTTGAGAAATCGCTTAATTTGACCAATTTGTGTAAAATATAAATTGATTCTGAGTTGTAGCTGTTGTTAAATTGCATAAAGAACAATCCAACTGATAAACACAAGAAAGATAATTCTGTAGCTACTATGATGTATGTTATTTTCTTTTACTATAACAATTAATACTAGACATATTTCCATTACTTCATATTAGAATACAGCATTTGCTTTAAGACCTTTTAGCCTCTCACCCTTTGGTAAATAATGTGTTCATACGGTGTGTTTATCTTAATTCCAAATAATCATTAACAAATATTTTACGTACTACATAAAACACAACCCCAGTGTTAGGAACTTGTTGGTCAGACAGAGGGAATACAAAACTATGAAGTGAACTGAGAGTTTAGGTGTTTTAAAATTAAGCTGATTACCCATTGCGATATAAAGTAATCTATAAGGGATTCACTGGTTCTCTCCATTTGATGATTACTTTGATGTGTATAAGAGATTTTTAATTATCCTGATTATAATATCTCAATGATACTTGTCTTAATTACTTTCTATGGTTGGGATAAAAACAGGGACCAAAACCAGCTTAAGAGGTTTACTTGGTTTATTTAAGGTTTACTTTGCTTGCAGATCACAGTCCATTCTCAAGGGAAGTTGAGACAGGAACTGAGGGCAGGAACCTGGAAGACAGACCATGGAGGACTGCTGCTTACTGGCTTCCTCCTCTGACCTGTGTGCAAACTGCCTTTTCAGATAACACGGGACCACCTGCCTGGGTGAGATACCACCCATAGAGACTGGGCCCTCCCACATCACTTAACAAGAAAGAAAATGCCTCATATACAGGGGCACAGGAGACTGATTTAGATTAAACTCCATTAATACTTGGGAATATTAATATATTAGGAATGAACTCAAGTGCCTGTCCCAGCAATTACACAATAATTTCCTGCATTTTCTATGAAATTGATTTCTTTGTTTTTAATGGAATAGTTCTTAAACCACACTTCCTTGATATGCAAGGATCTATGAATACAGACAAATAGATTTCATTTGAAACATAATTTGCAGGTTTCCTTATTTCACCAATATGATTCAAAGTTATCTTGCAAATTGTCTCTGTTACCATGTAGCATTATTTACTGTCATACAGTTTCTCTTTTTCTGTTTTGTATTTTAAAATTGAGTCAGTTTCCCTTTATTCATTTCAAATTGAATGATTTTATTATTTCATACTCTTCAATATTTACACTCTACATTATTTGATAGTTAGGTTATACATTTAATTCTTAATAACCTATTTTTCCAGCAGACGTTACTTGTCTATATATCACTTTATTTTAAATATCCACTTTTAAATTTGTTATACTGTCTTTATTTTAGAATTCACATTGTGTTTGTGTCTTTACATGTGTTTCTTTTTTTATTCTGAATTACGAGAAGGTCTCTCAATCTATTGCTTATTTTGAATGCTTTAACACCCTTCCCAGGAGAGCTAGGGCTACAGAGAAACCCTGTCTCAAATAGACGAAAAAAAAAACCTCTCCCCAACTCAGCTGACTTGTGTCCCTTCACTTGAAGCTGTTCATTCTTTACCGGCACTCACTGTCCCTCTAGGCTCTGACAACTGTCACATTCTCACTTCAAGACACTCTGTCCTCCACAATCCAGTTCCACAATCTCTGTGTCTACCTCCTAAACTTAAAATTACATTTCCAAATAATTCTTTGCTGGAAAGTATGGTGAAAGTTCTTGTGGAACATTTCTCTATTGGTGCTCAAAATTGTGAGCAACCACTAATGAATAAAATGAACCAATATCACTTTAGTGAAGTTAAATATTGACATAATTTAATGATTATTAAACTACCTAGCAACAGAAGTAATTGTTGCACTTAGATTTAGAGCCTGGAAAACACAGCCTCCTAATAGCATCTAATCTTTGGGCCATCATTGGTACCTGACATTGATCCCCAAATATTTGTTTTTACATGTATGACTGACACATATTAAATGGGCCTAAGAAAGTTTGCTGTCAGAAGAGAAAACAAATTATGACCTGTCTTCATCTGTAGGGTCTTAACTTTGACTTCTGGGATATAATCAAGGGCTCCAGAAATAGCCTCTGTTATTTTGGGAGTCTCTTGAATTTCTCTGGCCAACCACTCAAAGGGAAGTCTTTTCTGTCTGGACTGTGTTCCTTGAAACACAGTCCCCACGTATACATATGCACTAATGTCTAGACACCACATGTGTGTTTCTCAGGAGTTTCCCAAGCCAACACATTTCCCTCTGTCTCCTCATGCTAGCCCCTGACCGATTCATCTCTCCTCTCTCTCCTGGTCT